CACATCCTTTCAAAATGACAGACAGATGGACAGAGGGGTGGAGTTTCATTTTTAGCTAGAAATGAAATTACATCAAATGAAATTAGAACAAGAAGTGATATAGAATTGGAAGGCATAGAATCTGTGTCGGTAGATTGAGGACACACAGGGGGAAAAAGACCTGGGTGGGACTTGTGTATATGCCTTGCAGCACTTGTCAGGATGTGGGGCAGAAAATAAAAATCAGGGGATAGAAAAGGCATGTAAGAAAGACCTTATTATAATCATCAAGAGGGATCTTCAATATGAAGGTGGACTGGAAAAATCAGGTTGGTTGTGAAGCTAAAGAAAAGGAATTTGTGGAATGTCTTCAAGATGATTTTTTTGGATCAGCTTGTGGCATAACCCACTAGGGAACAGTGATGTGTAATGAAGCAGACTTGATAAGGGGGCTTAAGGTGATGGAACACCTAGGGGGCCGTGACCGTAATATGATAGAGTTCATCTGGAAGTTTGAGAGGGAGAAGCTGGAATCACATGTAATGGTATTATCATTGAGTAAAGGTAATTACAAAAATATGATGGAGGAACTGGCCAGAGTTGATTTGAAGAGGAATCTTGCAAGGAAGGTGCGGCACGTGGCTCAGTGGTTGGCACTGCTGCCTTACAGCGTCAAGGACCCGGGTTCGAATCTGCCCTCAGACTACTGTGTAGGGTTTGCACATTCTCCCCGTGTCTGCGTGGGTTTCCTCTGGATGCTACGGTTTCCTCCCATAGTCCAAAGATGTGCAGGTTAGGTGGCTTGGCCATGCTAAATTGCCCATTGTGTCCAGAGATGTGGAGGCTAGGTGGACTAGCAATGGGAAACGCAGGGAAGTGGTTCAGAGGGGTTGGTGTGGACTTGATGGGCTGAATGGCCTGTTTCCACACTGGAGGGATTCTATGACCTAAGATGGTGGAGCAGCAATGGCAGGAGTTTCTGGGGGTATTTCTGGAGCACAGCTGAAATCCATCCCAAGGAGGAAGAAGCACAGTAAGAGGAGGATGAGGTAAACATGGCTGACAAGGGAAGTCAAGGCCAGCGCAAAAGCAAAACAATAAACATACAGTGTGGTGAAGATTAGTGGGAAGCCTTTAAAAACCAGTAGAGGATAACTAAAAAAGCAGTGGGAAGGGGGGATGAGAATATGACATATAAGATTAAGCTAGCTACTGATATAAAAGAAGATTGGAAGAGTTATTTTTAAATATCGAAGAGAGAAGCAACAGTGCTTAATGGACTGCTTGATAACAAGGCTGGAGAAGTAGTAATGGGGAACAAAGAAATGGTGGAGGAACTGAATATGTACTTTGCATTAGTTTTCATATGGAAGACACAAGCAGCATACCAGAACTTCAAGAGAGTAACCGGGAAGAGGTAAGTGTAGAGGCTATCACTGAGAAGGTGCTGGGGAAACTGAAAGGTCTGATGGTGGATAAATCACCCAGACCAGATGGACTACACCCCAGAGTCCTGCAGGAGATAACTAAGGAGATTGGTGGTTATCTTTCAGGAATCACTAGAGTCAGGGACAGTGCCAAAGGACTGAAAAATGGATCATTTAACACCCCTGTTTAAGGTGAGAGAGAGGGAGACAGAAGATAGGAAGCTGTAGGCTCGTTAATGTGACTTCAGTTGTTGTTAGGATTTCAGAGTCCATTATTAAGGATGAGATTGCAGAGTACTTTAAGGTAAAATAGGGCTGAGTCAGCATGGCTTCATCAAGGGGAGGTCATGCCTGACAAATCTGTTAGAATTCTTTGAAGAGGTAACAAGCAAGTTAGACAAAGGAGAGTCAGTGGACATGATGTATTTGGATTTCTAGAATGCTTTTGACAAGGTGTGCACAGGATGCTGATAAATAATGTAAGAGCCTATTATGTTAGGGGCAAGGTACTGGCATATATAGAGGATTGGCTGACTGCCAGAATCAAAGAGCAGGGATAAAGGGGGCTTTTCAGGATGGCAGCCAGTGATTAGTGGATTTCCACAATTGGGACCACACTATTCACATTATACATTTATGATCTGGACAAACGAACTGAGGCCATTGTTGCTAAGTTTGCAAGTGATACAGAGATAGTTGGAGGGGTGGGTGGTGTTGAGGAAGCAGGGAGACTGCAGAAGGACTTGGACAGGTGAGAAGAGTAGGCAAAGAAAAGACAGATGGAATACTATGTGAGGAAGTGTGAGATTATGCACTTTGGTAGGAAGAATACAAGCATGGACTATTTTTTAATGATCAAAGATTGCAAGATATTAGAGGAATAGATTGGGTAGATTCATTGAAATAAATTCCACCAGTTGTCAAGTGTAGGACAGTGCAGTTAAGGATTAGTCAGACCTTTCAGGAATGAATTTTGGAAACACACAAAGGGTGGAATCTGCTGTACTTAAAAAAAAATTAAGTTGGTGGAACCATTTGTGGGTACTCATGTCAGAGGTGCATCCTGGACAACCACTTAACAGATCAAGAAAACATATTCTCTCCAATAAAAGTTAACAGCTGGGATATGGATGTTGCTGGCCCAAAGGAAGATAACATAAGAATATCTTGACTCTTGCCACATTGAGAGAGGTGGACACTATTGAGGTAGATAGGAACTACAATGGCACATCAAAATGGAAGTGGTGAAATGTCTCAGATCTGCTTGCACAATCAGTGTGGAGAGAGCAAGAATTCCTTTAGACATAACAAGGTGTAGAGCTGGACGAACACAGGAGGCCAGGCAGCATCAGAGGAGCAGGAAAGCTGATGTTTTGGGTCTGGACCCTTCAGTTTTCCTGCTCCTCGGATGCTGCCTGGCCTGCTGTGTTCATCCAGCTCTACACCTTGTTATCCAAGAATTCCTTTAGCTTTGGTTATACCTGACTCAACCTTGAGGCTCCATTTATGAGGTCAGTTCTCTTATGCTGCTGGATGCTTGACACAGGAGACGACTGCTGCAGGCAATTAAGCTTAAATAGTCCTTTAAAATACTTTGCTTGGCTACCCATTGTGGATTTTCGGGCAGATTAGGTAAAATCTCCTGGAAACAACACTCAAGAATCTCGAAACCATCCAAGAAAAAAGCAGCACACTTAATTGGCATCACATCCACAAATATTCTTTCCCACCATTTATCACTTATGCTGAGTAGCAGCAGTATATACCTACAAGATGCATTGCAGAAATTCACTATGGTTCTAAACCATGATCACTTCCATCTAGAAAGACAAGGGCAGTAGATACATGAGAACACCACCACCTGCAAGTTCCCCTCCAAGCCACTTGCCATCCTGACTTGGAAATATATCATTGTTCCTTCACTGTCGCTGAACCAAAATTTTGGATGGCATTGAGGGTTTACATACAGCAAAAGGACTGTAGCAGTTCTATCACTACCTTTTCAAGATCAACTACAGATAGGCAATAAATGGTGGCCCAGTCAGTGACATCTATGTCCAATGAATGAATAAAAACAAATGTGGTAATGTTGGATAGATAGAGTCAGGTTGCAGATCATACACAATTTCTTTGCCTCATGGACCACCCTTCATCATAGAATCTCCACAGTGTGGAAACAAGCCATTCTTCCCATCAAGTCCACACCAACCCCTAAACTGCAGCCTACACAGTCCCACCCCATCCCTGTTACCCTGATTTTCCATAGCTAACCCACATACCCTGCGCATCCCTGGACTCTATGGGCAATTTAGCATGGACAGTCCACCTTACCTGCACATCTTTGGATTGTGGAAGGAAACTAGAGCGCTCAGAGGAAACCAACACATACACAGGGAGAATGTGTAAACTCCACACAGTTGCCCGAGGCTGGAATCAAAGCCAGGTCCCTGGCACTGTGAGGCTGCCGGGCTAGCCACTGAGCAATATATGTTCCTCTGTTCATACTCACTCTCTAAGACGGGTTTTAAAACTCTGGCTAAGTATTTGATTCCCCATTCTAATAATTCTTTCCAACCGCTGCTTGATTTTATATTTGATAACTCATGAATCTGTCAAGTATGTCAAGTAATATGTCAAGTAATACTGAGTAAGTGTAATGTGGGTTCTTGCAAGTCATTTCTTAAACTCATCCCTGAACTCAGCAGTCTCAAGACAACTTCACAGACATCAAAATAGGAAAAATCTGTGGTCTCTATGTCAACATTGTGCTTAGAAAAAATGCAATAGAACAAATATATGAATTAATATTATGGCAATCTGCTTCCTGGTTGATATTTACCAGCCATTATCACATGGTATATTGTTCGCATTATTGTCAACAACAGCACGTTTGTTGTGCAGTTTAAAATCTTTTGTCATATATTTAGAGGAAGAAACTCTAGCTCATATCCAAGTTGTTTTTCACGGTACGAGGGGATGGGCTATTTCACACCCATCATGCTGCAGTGAAATCGGTGTGCCAACACTGACATGCCAAATCATTGTTCAGAATTATGGCAACATGATTGTAGAAAATTGCAATGACATGGGGCCCTCCTGACGTGGTGTCACACAGGATTGAGCACATTAATTGCCCGATTGTGACTATTTATGGGGAAATTCCTCGGCATTAATTGATATTTGGTCAGAACAGCTCTTTATTAAATAAAAACACATTGATGACTTTTTGGTTTTGGGGGCGGGGTGGCGGTAAGCTTCCTTGTGGATGTAGAAGACGGGCCAGAGAGTTGAGCAACATTGGGATTTGAGGATAATTTCATAAAAAAGACAGCGATAATATAGGTACAAAGCGCCCGTCTGGACGTTTTTATTTGGCTTGATTTGTTTTCTCCAGCTAATGTTGATGTTCATTTACAGCGAGATTCAATCCCACTCGTTAGAAAACTGAGTCATTCATTCTATCGTACATTTCATCCACTTGAGTAGATCACTCTTGTGAGCTTCCTGTAGTGGGACTCAGTCAGGTGACGTTGTTAACCTCTTGTCAGTGAGTGCTAACTTCCTAGTTTGTCTTGTGTGTGTGTGTGTGTGTGTTGGTGAGGTACTGGTGGAGGAACAGCGGCGGCAGAGCAATGGTTCAGTGAGGAGCCGAAGCAGAATCAAGAGCCGCGCTGCTCTTTTAGCCACAGCGCAGCCTGTACGTCTGGGGCTGCCCTGGCGGCTGGGACATAGAGACAGACAGACAGAGGAGAGACCAAGGGGGGAGCCGCACCGAGATGCCGTAACCATGGACTGTAGACTGAAGTGAGTGACTGGGGAAGGTCCGGATCCTGGGCTGGGTAGATTGAGAGCTGGAGACTTCCGCAAGGGGAAAGCACCTGGTTGGGCTGGGGCTGGGGCAGGGGCACGGGCACGGGCACGGGCACAGGCACATTACAATCATTGGCAGGATTGGCTTTTGTTGCAGAGTAGAAGCGTCTGTGTTTCTGGTTTTGCTGATTTCTGGAGGCTTCAGGCCTGTACTCATTCTCTCTCTCTGTCTCTCTGCCAAATCAGATTGCTGACCGTGAAGGCGGAACATTTCACATTTAACCAGAATATACTGTACACTGCCGGGTTTGCAAAACAAAAAGGGGGTTGCATTTCTCCTTGCAATTTTATCTTGCATGATGTGCAAATTCTTACATTAGTTCTTTTCATTCATCAGTATGCTAAATGAAAAATAGAACGACCCAGGTTAGGAAAATGGCAAAATAATTAAGTCTCTCGTTTTTGCTTCAGAAAAATGCCATTCTCCGGTGGCTATATCTACAAAACAGACCTGCATGATTGGTGATAAACTGCAGTCTGAATGAGCAAATAAACTAAGGATAATCCAGTCTGTGACAGTTTAAATAACTTGAGTTTACAGGGTGGCCATAAAACCAGAAATAATGTGAAAATTCCTTAACAGAAGTGTTTGGAATTTATTAATATGAGGAGTTTCACCAGTTATATAAGTGGTCTTGACATCTTCTCACCAGGGTACCAGTATTTAGGAAACCACTTAGGAATGGCAGCACAGTGTGGGTACAAGAACTGGCGGAAGTGGTTCTCTTCCCATAACTCAGGCCATCTCCAAAAAGGAGACAAGATTGGAGAACCAGCCATGAACACCTGCTGTCACACCAAACAAAATAGACTTTTAGTACTTGCTGAAAGAAACCTGAAATGCTGCTGTAGAAATTTTCTACCTGAGTATTTCTAATGAAATGTGGAAAGAGATCACTAGTTAATGCAGCTTTGAAGTTCTGGAGAACAAAATGAGTTGATACATTTTTTGGTGCATTTCTGCTGATTCTGGTCTGAAATTATTGTGGATTTTGAGGTTGTGTTGAAATGACAGTCGGTGTTGTTTCTTTGTGGTTTGCAAGAGAGGAGTAGGGTGTTGGTAGCTTCATTTCCTCATGCAGTGTGACTTCTTTTTCACTACCTTATTAGACATGATGATGCCTTCTGTGTAACGATGAAAAGTTGAAAGGAGTTGAGAACCTTTCTGGCTGCTCCCATCCGTCTGTGGAAATTAGATCATGAACTGAATGGGATGGACGTTAGTGAGGGCCTCGTATTCCATGTTGCAGAGTTTATGCCAAAATCTAATAGCCCAACATAAATTAATTTCAGTCAGAGGAAATTCATTCTGGTTTGAAGGATTTGCAAAATGGATTAAATTAGCCTATTAAGCACACGAGCAAGTGCAGTGGGAAAATATTCCCAGGAAGATCGAAAGTGACTTGTCATAACTGTTAGTGTTTGAAACAATTTTGAACCGTTTCTAAGAATTTGAACCTACCCTCTCTCCCCTCCCCCAACCCCACCTCCTGTCAGTTATTCACCATCTCTCCTAACCTTCCGCTGCTGATGCTGAACGTTCTGTACTTTATCCCTTTATGTCCCCACCTTAACGAATTTCAGGCACAACATGACGTTGATTCTTCATCCACTGTCTTCGCCTCTGTGCCCATTTCTTTGGACAGGAGTCCTCTCCCCATTCCACAGACCCCCTTCACCCAGTTACAACACTCTCCCTCCACCTGGACCCCTCTCTTCAGCCTTTTACCTGTACTCGATCTGTTCATTGAGAACTGTCGACGTGATATTAGTTGCCTCAATTTCTCTGCCTCCCTCACCAAATCCAATCTATCTCCCTCCAAACCGACTGTACTCCATGCACTCAGATCTAACCCTGACTTTGTTATTAAGCCTGCCAATAAGGGTGGTGCTGTTGTACTCTAGCGTACTGACCTCTACATTGCAGAGGCTGAGCACCAGCTCTGAGATAACTCCTCCTATCTTTCCCTGGACCATGACCCTACCATGGCACATTAGGCCATTGTATCAGCTTTGGTAACTGACCTCATTTCATTTGGTGAGCTCCTCCACTGCCTCCAAGCTGATAGTCCCCCAGCCCCGCACAGCTCGCTTCTACCTCTTCCAAAAATCCACAAACAGGACTGTCTGGGCAGACCCATTGTTTCAGCCTGCTCCTGCCCCACCGAACTCATCTCTTCATACCTCAACTCAGTCTTCTCTCTCCTAGTCCAATCCCTGTCCATGTAAATCCATGATTCCTCTGACACTTTACGCCAGTTTTAGAATTTCCAGTTTGCAGGTTCCAGCTGCCTCCTGTTGACCATGGATGTACAATGCCTTTACATGTCCGTTCCCCACCAGGAGGGTGTCAGGGCTCTCTGCCTCTTCATGGAGCAAAGACCTGGACCGATCCACCCACTATCACCGTCCTCCACTTGGCCGAGCTTGTCCTCTAGAAATGACCACAACAAACATGTTCTCATAGCAAGCATCTCTTGAGCCTTTTACCCTTGTCCTTACCTACCATCCCACCAGCATGCACATCCAGAAGATCATCAGTAGTCATTTCTGCCACCTCCAGCAAGATGCCACCACCAGACACATATTCCCCTCGCCTCCTTTGTCCGCCTTCCGCAGGGACCGTTCCCTCTGGGACACCCTAGTCCACACTTCCTTCACCCCCAACACCTCCCCACAGCCCTGCGGCACCTTCCCCTGCAACCGGCGAAAGTGCAACACCTGCCCATTTACCTCCTCCCACCCCTGCATCCAAGGGCTCAAACCTACCTTCCAGGTGAAGCAACACTTCAGTTGCACTTCATACAATCTTCTCTACTGCATTTGCTGCTCACAATGTGGTCTCCTGTACATTGGGGAAACGAAGCGTAGACTGGGTGACAGCTTTGCAGAACATCTACGTTCTGCCTGCAAAAAAGACTCTGAACTAGCTGTTGCCTGCCACTTTAACACACCACCCTGTTCCCTGGCCAACATCTCTGTCTCTGGCTTGCTGCAGTGTTCTAGCAAAGCTGAGCGCAAGCTGGAAGAACAACACCTCATTTTCCACTTGGGGACCCTGCAGCCTTCCGGACTCGATATCGAGTTCAATAATTTTGGGGCCTAAACTCTCCCATATCCTAGCCCCCAACTCCACACACCAGGCCTTGTTATCACATAGCCTGCCATTACACACTACCTATTGCTAGCCACTAACAGCCTCCATTAACAACTATTCACCACCCCCCCCCCAGCCTGATCACTATCAACTCCTTTGTCAGTCCACCTGTTCTTCTCTCTGTTTGCGTTCTATCCCCACTATTGTTTACTGCTTAACCCCTGCCCTCATCCTCTCTTCTGCATATAAACTGATATTCTCCCAATTACCATTAGTTCTGAGGAAGGGTCACCAGACGCGAAACATTAACTCTGATTTCTCTTCACAGATGGTGCCAGACCTGCTGAGCTTTTCCAGAAACTTCTGTTTTTATTTCTGAGGATTTGCATTTGTTTTGCTGAGTCACGTCTGGGGATAGTGGGATAGTAATAAAGTCACTGGACAAGCAAATCCTGGCATTATAGTACCATATTCCATCACACAAACTGCTAGAATTTAAATCCAGTTAATAACATTAAACTAATGAGTGAAAATCGGGAATTGAAACCTAGTGTCTGTAAAAGTGACTATGAAATTATTATTGATTGTTGGAAAAACTCATCTGGTTTGGGAAATTTTTCAGGAAGAAATCTATAATTCTTACGTGGTCTGGCCTACAGGTGACTCCAGACACACAACAATGTAGTTGACTCTTAATTGTCACCTGAAACGGCCCAGCAAGCCATTCAATGGTACCAAACAAGGACACAAAAGTCAAAAAGCAACAACCAGGCCCTGTAGGTGGCTCTGGAAATGACTACAGCAAACATGTTCTCATAGCAAGCATCTCTTGAGCATTTTACCAAAATTGTCAGAAATGTCCCAAAAACTCGTCAACTTATAGGCTGACATAGTCATTCTCACAAACCCATACATTAGAGACAATGTCCTAGATATTGCCATCATGATCCCTGAGTATGTGTTGTCCCGTCAGAAGGACAGACCAACCAGAGTTGTCAGCACAGTGGTATGCAGTTGAAAGGGACACGGCTTGTGAGTCCTGAACATCGATTCGGACCCAATTAAAGCCTCATGGCAGTAGGTCAAATAAGGGGAAGAGAGCTTCCTGCAGTTTACGACCTCACTTCACTCATTCATGTCTGTGACTATGAGAGGCCTGATAGCACCATTACTGACTGATCTGACTGAGTCTTGAAGGACATAGCTGCTATATTGGGCCTACAGCAGGTGGTGAAGGAATCAACTAAGGAACAAATATCTGCTAGACCTGCTCATTGCCAATCCGTCAGTTGGAAATGCAACCATACTAGTCTTTGGTGTCACAGATGATAGCATTGGTTGGAGTGACCACTTCATAGTCATTTTGAAAATGAAGCCCATCTTTACATTGAAGACCCATCCATTGTGTTTGGGAACATCATTGTGCAAAATGAGATTGAATCAATGTATTGTCTACCATCTCAAAATTGGGCTTCCATGAGATGCTATGGGCCGTTGGCAGTGGAATTGTATTCAACCACAAGTCTGTAACTTCACAGCCTAACATATCCTGCATTCTATCATTGCCATCAAGCCAAGGCATCAACCCTGTTTCATTGAGGAGTGCAGGAGGGCATACCAGGAACGGCAACAGGCATGCCTAAAAATATAAGGCCAATCCGGTGCAGCTACAACAAGAGGACTACCTGCATACCAAACAGCAGAAGTAGCATGCAATGCTAAGTGATGCCATAACCAAAAGATCAGTCCTATCATATCCTGTCACGAATAACACTCGCATGTATTCAATAACATGGAACATTGCCCAAATCTGTGCTGTTTCCATACTGTAGGGATT